TAGTGGTTTTACATCTGAGTAAAACAAAACATAATACAGCATTTGTCAAGTCAAATGTATGTAGATTTTCCCAGAAAAACAACTCAGAAACGATCATTGAAATCCTTTACCATGTCACATTTACTTTGAATGTAACATGCATTCTTCCATTGGTGCATTAACTCCTAACATTTTCCCTAATAAAAGTACCACTTCAAATTGAAAGTAGACTGATTGAACTTGTAAAATCTTCCTTTGTTCTCTGTTTCAGTAAATGGCAGTATAATGAAACCTCAAGTTGGATCTTTTTCTGGTAATTTTCTCCAGCCTTCTCAAAGGAAACTGATCAATGAGCTCCAAAACCGCCTCAATCCGGACCGGGTAAGGAAAGCTCTCACTGGCCCGAAGGTTTTTCTTTAGAACCAGCATGGTGAAGCCTTGCTCCTGAAACCATTGGTACAGACAAGGAGAAACGGTCAGGTACTGAAAAATGTACATAAAAACTTTTAAAAGGAAATGTTTGTAGCTAGCATATTATGTTGTTGAGAGACTAACTGGTTACCTGGCTGGTTAGCTCCAGGTAATGCAGCAGTTTGCTAACTGTGTCCGGGTCCAGGCTCTCCACTGTGGCCTCTCCTACAAAAGTTGTTTTCTGGATTCGACCCTCCATCATGGCGTTCTGGATGATGGTGACGATGAATGTGTCTCTTTCTGCTAGACGGCAGTTCAGCGCTTTCTGAAAGAGTCCGGCAGAGACGCAAAACAAAGAAAAGTAGTTACAGAAAGGCTATTGAAGCTCTGCAATGCTAGTGAGTAAAATAATCAGGTTATCCTTTTCCTAATTTTGATTTAACTTATTTTTTGTATTGTTTATATGAATTAAGAATAGGTGAAAAAAAGGATTTCTCAGAGTAATCTTTGTAAATGGTTTAAAACAAAGTTTATCTATGACAAAAGTGGAATCTAGGATCATAACTCTCTAGGATATTATTTGAAGCGACTTAACATTTTTCATCTGTGAGAAATATCCCATGACCCCAATGTTTTCTTCCAGGGGACTTTAATTTCTCCATGCACTCTAAACACATAAGGTGTGGTGCACTTCAGCCTCTTGTGGACTAAATGAGTATTACAACAACAACACACACTGATACATGATCCTGACAAGAACATAGAACAAATGGTGACTTCCAAAAAATAATCCGGGGAAAATGTGTTTCACAGGTAAAGGGAATTTGGAAAGCTTTCCCTGCGTAAAACTTGATTTCTTCTACCTGTTCTCAAATTCCAAAAATATTTTCACTTACTACACCTTTCCATATTACATTTTTTTTTTTTTTAAATAAAACTCTAAAGGGTATATCTAAAGAGAAAATAAACCTACCTGCTCCATTTCCTCCAGCTGCTTCTCCATCATACGAAGGTAGTGGTCATTATGGGATGGAGCTGTGATCACCCACAGTCTCTTTTTACCTGGAGGGGAGGAAGGGTTTAGAGGTAAGTAGATAAACAGAAATGAAAATAACACAGCTGATAATTGTATTGTCTTGCCTGCAAAGTCTGCCAGGAAATCCAGCTCCGGAGCCAGGCTGGTTGAGGACTCTCCAGCTCCTCTGTTGTCGCCATGTTCTTCATCCAACCCCAACCCCTGCTCGATCCCAGGGGGGAGGTCTGAATAGTCTCCCCACTCCCTCACATTGGGGTCCAGCGGCTCCATGGGCTTGCTGCGACTGATGCCCGGCGATGCGGTGAGCAGACCCGGGTAGCTGAGGCTCCACAGAGCAGCAAAGAACAGCAGAGGCCAGTTTGACTTATTGAAATGAACAATCATTACTGACACAGATGAGTAGTCGGTTTGTTAATCAGCTGGAAATAGTTAGTGGCTCACAAATCCTCGAGTTAAAAAATGCATTTGTTCTAGGCTGCAGCGTTGCATCTGAAACAGAATGGATTTGCCAGCTCTTTAGAAGTGATTTAAGAATACGAAAGCTTTAAATCATCAGTCGCAAAACCGAGTAATCCATACGTCGAATCCAAATTCAAAACCCCATTAAAGACGGGAAAGTTCTGTATCCTAGATAAAGCAGGTGGATCAAATCTGACATGAATCTCAAAGTTAAAAGGACAGAAGAGACTGCAGTTATGTTAACCCATCTTACCAGCAGAGATGGACTGAGTGGGGAGACTTCCCTCTCCTTACACACACACACACACACACACACACACACACACACACACACACACACACACACACACACACACACACACACTCCTGGTTCACATTATACCCCAGGATCGTTAACAGGAAACTCCTGTTTTTGTAGGACTTCAAAGCATTTCTTGAGGAACGTTTTTTTCTTTCTTTCTTCCTCTCTTCCTCTCTTTCTCTCTCATATACTGTACACTTACACATTCTCTTTGTGTATGTGTGGTGCTGTTTTGTCCCACAGCTGACTGTTTTAGTGTCCATTATCTATGAAAAATATGTCTCTTACATTTACACACACATTGTTGCATAACTGTAGGTCTCAGTCAGGGGGCTGCTGTGAAGCTGATCTTGACCTTTGACCTCCCTCTAGAGCGGGGAAATTGAAGAGACAATAACCCTGCAAAACCAAATTACTTCCACTATTACACCTGGTAAAGATTGACCGCTTTTGACAGATTTATATTTAAAATTCCGTAAGTATCTATCAGAGACTGACAGTGGATATTGCCTGCTGCCTCCCACAAGTCAGAGGAAGTTGTGTTGACAGAATGGCGTAGTAAAAGTGGGTGATAATAGTAAAAGCAGTTCAGCTTAAAGCCATTTGTTCAACAGGAGTTAAAGCTTCTAAATGAAGGGGCTGTGACCGTAAATGACCCAGACAGGCTAATGGATGCCGCAGTCTAGAAAGGTTCACACCAGTTCAGAGTTGTTAAGCAAAGGAAAATGTGCCCACAGGCTAGTTAACCCGACAGACTGTCAGGAAAAAGGTTTTCATCCCTCCCCCCGTTGGCCCATTAAAGCTCAACCACCTTACATCTTGACAACATTAAACTAAATCCTGAAACCAGTCATCTATCACTTTTTTACAATCATCTCAACTATCAATTCTCACCAGAAATCAAACTTAGATTTTTTCCCATGAAAATGACAGGGCATTTTAAATGATCCAAATTAACTCTGTAAATATAATATAGTAAGTCCTCTCAGAGCACAAACAAATATATATAACAAATGTAGTGTAGACAGCAGCAGTGACATGATAGAGACCTTGAATGATTCATATGGGATTAGAATTAATCCATGATGCTGATGTTTCCTTATTTTTGATGTAAAGCCAGGATCAGTCACCATATGTCAAAGATGTGATGGCCCTTGATGTGCAATCACCCAAAATACAATTGGTCTTCCTTCAATCCTTGTTTTTCAAAATAACGACCTGGGAAAAAAACAATTGGCCTGAAAAAAGAAATAGGAACAAAAGACAAATATTTAACGAGCAATATATTATAAACATATACTAAAAATGAGCAAGCTACAGTGACAGCAGGTAGTGTGAAATGATTGAAAACAATGTCTCTTGAAAGGCATTAGGACTTGAAATGTTCCTCCATCTGCTCCCTGACCTTATAAGTACACATTTTGGTTGAGTTTGTAGTATGAATGTCATTGAGAAAGGAAAGGAAGACAGAATTTGGCAAAAATAAAAGCAAAGACATTGAGGCAAAGCCCACGCAATTAGATGAGCCTTCCTTAAGGGTGAAAGATTGAAATGAAAACCAGGCGTAGCTACAATGCATTCCACTCTCTGAGCCTGATAAAGAGAACCAGATGAACAGTATGCATGTGAGCGAGAGTATTCATACTGTATGAAGTGCATATATTACACTGTTAGTGAAGGGGTGTGCTGTTGCGCACGATTAAATATGCTGAAGATAAGAGTTATTGCTCCTGTGTTCTCATGAGCAAAGTTTAACAGCTAAAAACTTAAAAGGAACGCCAACCTTTCATGTGTATCTACAAGCATAGACACATTTCTACCACCACGCCAATTATCTTATAATATATTTCATCATGTGTCATACAAGAATACTGCCCATAAATTGAAACCTCAATGGTAATTCTACTTACTGTATTCAGTTCATTAGATTCTTATTTTCAGGAGCTATTAACAAAAATGTAAATGAAAAAACAATAGATGACACGATGTAAAATACTTTATTAAAAAGCACCGCTTAGTGGAGAATGTGAGTCTTGCACCATATGTTTAAACAACTGAGGCATTGCTCGAACGTGGAACTGATTAGACCTTGAAGGGGCTGGAGGGGGCCCACCGACCGCAGTTCAAACGGCGGTGAAATACTTTAAAAGGAATGTAATAGATTGTTTTAGACCTTTTATATTAGACATTTAGTATGTGAGTAGATATCCCATCATGACACCTTGACATCTTATAGAAGGGGATACACCACAATAAATACCGAAGTACACAAAAAGGAATGCATCACAGCCACAGTAACAGAACATTACACCTATCTTTAATTTTTATAATTTTACTCAGTTTGAAATGGCATAGGCTTCAGTCTGCAAAACATACGAAGCTTTTCAATGAATACATGGATGTTGCATGCCCACAGTAGGCTATATTTCAGCAATGACATATGATTTAGGCATATCCAGAGCCCACATGCAAGGTCATTTGATTAATATCAGGTTATGTGTAGAAGAAAAATTACATATTTGATTTACTTTTTATTCCACAGTGCAATAGTTTGTATACATGGTCAAAGAGCGCTCCTCAGTGGAACAATACAGAGTTGCAACTTCAGTACATTTTGGGACGCCATTTCAGATAGGCCTATAGCAGAATACACGTTTCTGTGCTCTATTTTAATTTTAATCAAGACATTTATTTGATTGATTTCTTGATTAATGCATACGTCTTTGCATGGTTTGTGATTAAGAAATGTGCTCTTGCATATTGGGTGACAAAAAGTTTGCACCTGTCATATGATCCAATCAGAGCCCAATAACACTCCGGTGTCGGCCGCTTTCCCCGTCATCTTCCGGGTCAGCAGACAGTTCGCCTGCGCTGCACAGAGCCAGGACTTTCTGCAAAGGTCAGTCGAGTTTCCGCTCACCACTCTCACTTTTCACCTTGCATTTTTTACCCGTTTGCATGTATTTTCGTCTGTAGGGGGCATTTTGAGTCTTACGTCGCATTCATGCACCAGACAGATGTGTGTGTTAGCTGACGGGCTAAAGCGCTAGCTAGCCAATGTTAGCTTTCTGTCCCGTTGTAATGTGCAGACAAAAGGAGAGAAGTGGGAGGCAGCAGCTGTTTGGATTATAATCATGTTTATCTGTGAGCCACAGGGAAACTGTGCACTGCATTTAGCCCCAAACACACATTGAATGAACCCCTTTTTGACACTACGTGGTCTCTGAATGAAACCACAGGTTGACAAAGTTGTGCGATTCTGATTAATTGGTGATTTATTGGGTCATATACATTCAAAGATTCCGTTAATCTGAGGTTTAAGTGAGCCGTTCAAGTCCTGACCCGGGTTAAATCCTGAACATTCAGTACAAAGCAACACGCGTTTGCACTGTGACGCCGTGTTTTTATTTTTATGAGCTAATGTTTTGTGTGAAAGTAACATGTTAAATGCATCGGTGTGATTCATATTTTATGAAGACTGCCATGCTTTTTGCTGACGTGGTAGCTTCATTTTTGCTGACATGAAATAAGAGTCCTGAACACACCAGGCTGCACTGGTCTTCAAACGGCCTGTCTTTGCTTTTTTAAATAGTTTCTTTTTAAAAGTTTACATATTTCAATTAGTCAATTCTTATTTACTTATGAATCAAACTTTTCCTTTTTAACATTTCTCAACGTTTTTTTTGCCTTTTTTTATTAGCTTCCTTTAATGGTAAAGTCAACTTGAACACACTTGACTAATTCAACTAATAGTAAACAAGACAACATTGACAACTTCAATAGGATTAGAGTAGACGTAGTCTATGCTTTGCACTTTCATTTTAACCATTGATTATATGCAATGACATATTGATCCTTTTACTCGACTACAAAGTCTATCAAGGTCAGTGCTGCAACCATGCCTATGCTAATTTGCATAATGGGCTTCTTCAGTTTTCTTTTTGTATCACCAATTGACTAAACTATTTTTAGCAACGATTCAATTATTGTTTATGCTTTAAAGTACCAGCACCTTGTAAAAAAAAAAGTCAAAAGTAATTAGAGTCCAAAACTCAAACGCATCCAGTGTACAATGATTTATATAAAAAAAAAAAAGAGAAGTAGCTTATATTCATTTGCTTGAATTAGCAAATTATAGGCAGTTTTGATAAATCAGTTCTTGTTGAAGCACTAATGAAACTTTTTTTTAATTCTCAGTTGTCATTTTGATTTCTCTTCCTTATCAGTGGCTGTGTTTGACCTTTTAACTAAAACACTCTTTATTCTGTGCACTCTGTTGAGTTTATTGCATTTGCCAGTCAATTCTAGTTTAAACCCTACTTCACTAGCCAAGCCACCCCAGTCTATCCCAGTTCTCCCTTTAGAGTAAACATGTTGTCCTTCATGCTGTTAACTGCTTCAGAGTCATTCAGTAGGCTACAATAACATTAAAATAAATGGAACTTTGAAAATAACAATCTACAGATACCTATATGAGAGCAAATACCAGATTCCTAATGTGGCTGCCAGAATATGTGTTGATTTAAGTGCAAATGCATATATGGAAGTGTGACCTTTTCAATAAACATAGGTCATTTGTGTGTTTGATCTACAAGGGAAAAAGGTGAAACATATTTCTGTGGAACATGTGGGCACATACTTTCACAAGTATGAGAGTATGTACAATTCAACAAAAAGCTAATAATGCAGAGATATTGACACAAATATATTTGTTTCTCTCTCTTTCACCTACATTCATCCTCCTGTTCCTCTTTACCCATAACCCACCTCCCCTCCCTCTCCTCTCCTCTCCTCTCCTCTCTGTCTGCTGGTGCTCACTCTCTCACCTTGCTCTTTCCCAGGAGGGGTGCCGTTTGTCCTCTATAGCTCCTCCTGGTGTGTGAGTGTCGGTGTGTGTGCACCATGGCGAGCCTCCTTCGTGTTGTGGTGGCTAGCTGCTCAGCCCCTGTGTTCAGCGGCGTCTCCTGTACCAAGCTGCAGCGCGGCGGTGCTATCAAATCATCATGCCTTCGCTTTTTCAGGACCAATCAAGCTCTGGGGCGATGTGCCAGTCCAGGTAAGACACTATGTAGGGCATGGGTATATGTACAACATTAAATGTCAGAAAGCATCTAATGGTACAATAATGTAAACAGTAATTACATTTTTTTATTTACATATAGTCAGTGAATTAACAACACTAAGACAATGCCTAAAAGCTGAGATTTCTCTAAGTAGAATGCAACACAATGTATTTTACTAGGATGTCGACTGAGGGAGGTCACATGATCTTTCAAACTAAACCGGGTGACAAAAGGTCAATAACAAAATGGATCACATATGTCACGGATACATTTAAAAAAAATGTACAAATGTTTTCTCTCTTATACATATAATTGTACAATAAATCTCTTTGCGTTTTTTCTGTTGATCAGGGAAAAACTGAAAATGAATTGTCACCTTGGTCTCTGGAAATTTTTTATTTTATTGACAAAAAGATTATTAAATGAATTGACAAAAAACTTCCTAGAGTGATCGATTACTGGAATTAGCTTTAGTTGTGGCCCCATTTTACTACTGATAGAACACTTAAAGCCACAACACCTGTATGTTCTGTTTGCATTCTCATGAACCTGGGTATCAGCTGCAACATGCAGTGGAAACATACTGATTACACTAACCTAAAGCTACTCTGCTTTAAAGTGGACAGACAAGTAAACTATTCATATAGTTCTTTCATTGGCCTTGGCAGCTGGTGAATTAAATCTGTCATAGTGATCCAAATGTGATAGTAGTAGATCCTGCTCTACCCATTCATTCATAATTTTCTGCATGTTTATCCCTTCTTTATATGTTTTAAAAGTTTACTATAGAGGTCAGTGTTGCTACCAGGATTTGCTCTCTGAACCAAGGTCACATTTAGGATACGATAGTCAGGCATTATTCTCCATTTTACATGCCCCCACTGTGTACACAGTAACCTGGCAGAAGGTGTGTATTTCTGTGTGTGTGAGAGAAATCCAGTACCAGCTGGTTGTAGGTGCTTCATGTCTGCGTGCGCTGGGTTCATGACTGGCAGAGGTCTCTATGTGTAGGTGGGTGTTTAGGGGGTGCTGGTGACCTGGTTCATGCTGACATTCTTGCAGTGCAGATAGCTTCAGTAACAGCTGGCAGCCTATATTCTGGACACACAAGGATCAGTTTACAGACTCTCAGACAAGTGGAGGAGTGGGACACACATTTGACATGCTTATGCTCTGACCTCCAGGGAGCCTATAGACATACTGTATATAGACTGAGGCGGGGTGTTGAAGTGAGACTGGATTTTTGAATTATGACATGGACAAAATTAAACCGTGCTTTATGAACTGCCTTTCTTAACTCTCAAGCATTACCAACTTAGATGTAATGGAAATGTTTTGTGGGACGAGTGTTATGATATGAATTAAATAAATAAGGCCAGACTTTTGTCTGTTTTCATAAAGGTACACTGAGGAGGATTACATTGTAGTTGTTTCTTGCCTGAGAAACATTGTTTGTATTCTTAAGGTCTATTAAAAATGTTGAATGCATTTTATTCCTCAAAGTATTTGGAAATGTAAAGTTGTTTTTAAAGTCCTGAAGATATATGCATGCTTGTTAAAAGTATTCTTCTTCGGATGAAACGGCAGGAGAGTATTGTGCTGCCTGCTTGAAAGCACATGTGTAACTTAGTTTGTGTACGATTTCTTTAATCTGCATGTTTATAGATGATAGTATAATCTTGATCGGTCAGGTGTATTTGCTGGTATTTACTTAATTGTACTTATACTTTTGTAACGAAAGGCAGGCAGCCATGGGATAGACTACCCAGTTCTCTGATTTAAATCAAATGGGACACACAGTGGTATGTGATCTCTCTTGGTTTATATAGTTGGGTTGAGGGTTAAAGCAAAGGCAGACTGTCAGAGGCTGTTTATGTATAGACAAGGAGAAGGAGTTCCAAAAAAAGAAAAAGAGCTGCAGTGGAATTTTCCATAGGAGCAACATGTGACCTGCTGTTGGACACTAGCCCTGAAATAAAAAGGACACAAATAACCTTCTTAAAATATTAATAGTTCCGTCTCTTTGTCATGCCTATTTATTGCTACATGTTTATGCAAGTCACTTGACTCTGGTTTGATCCTTTTATCCTACAATGTACAAATGTAAATCTCATCATAAGCTTCCCTATTGTTGTAAGACATGTTGAACCAGGTCTGTTTCTTCTGCTTGGACAACACATTTAACTTTTATATCGCTTTGTCTACATCTTACTTTGGTAAATAAGTTAATATCTTGACTATAATTTTTTTATCTTTGACCTGAAGGTGAGAGTTCTTTAGATATCTAACTAATAGCACAGTAATGGTATGGAAATACATTTTTCGGTTCAAATGTACTTTAGTTTATGACCAAATACTTGCAAAGCTAAACATGCAACCTGCAGCCTCATTAGCAGCTGACGTCTCTGAGTGTTGTAGTTTGACATTGACCTTGTCTATCTGCCTACAAAGGCCATGCACATACAGGACAGTGTTTATCATAAACATTGTTTTAACTCCACTCGTGTCCGATTTCTGTAAATATTCTCCTTAAAGCTGCAGAACTATCTGCATATAAGATTGTTTATCTTCAAAATAAATCATTTGTGACAGATAAAAGTTGAATCCATTCAATCAATGCAATTACAGTAAAGTATGATTGTTTGTGTGTCCGTCTTTATGCTTTTTTTAATGTTTTGAATATATGAATCAATGTAATATCTGTCACTGATGTCACTCTTCTGTATTGTTCCCCCTCTGCAGGTATTCCCTACAAACAACTCACAGTGGGTGTACCTAAAGAGATCTTCCAGAATGAGCGTCGTGTGGCGATTTCTCCCGCTGGCGTGCAGGCGCTCATCAAGCAGGGCTTCAACGTGGTGGTGGAGTCGGGAGCTGGAGAGCCTTCCAAGTTCCAGGACGAACAGTACATCCAGGCTGGAGCAACGATTCAAGACGTCAAAGATGTCATGGCCTCTGATGTGCTGTTCAAGGTAGGATTTCAGTGGGGGGTGGAGGAGGAGTGGGAAGTAGGGTTTTGTGATAATTCAATAATCCAAATGTTTCATTCGTTTTTAGACTATGCTTCTCGAAGAGCTTAAAGAAATGCATTAAAACATTCTACCCTTTTATGTTTACTACTTTTCCTAAACCTTTACAATGCAATCATTCGCTTCCAGGTTCGTGCTCCCATTTTCAACCCTGAGCTGGGTGCCCATGAGGTGGACATGATGAAGGAGTCGGCCACTTTAATGAGCTTCATCTACCCGGCCCAGAACCCCGAGCTGATGGACCTGCTGTCCCAGAAGAAGGCCACCGTCCTGGCTATGGACCAGGTACCCCGAGTCACCATCGCCCAGGGTTACGATGCACTGAGCTCCATGGCAAACATTGCAGGGTATGTATGTTAATAATGACACATATGGCTGTTCATACTTATATCTTCATTGCTTGATGTTTCACTCTGTTCATTTGTAGGTACAAGGCAGTTGTATTGGCAGCTAACAACTTTGGTCGCTTTTTCACTGGACAAATCACAGCAGCTGGGAAGGTGCCGCCTGCAAAGGTGTGTAGTATGAGTGTTTGTCTCTGTGTGAAGGTGTCTATGCCAGTTATAGCACATTTAATCCATCTAATATGTCATGTATGCTTATAGGTTCTGATCATCGGAGGTGGTGTGGCTGGACTGGCTGCAGCTGGTTCTGCCAGGTCCATGGGAGCCATCGTCAGAGGATTTGACACCAGGTTTGTTTTTGATACCCGATGTTGTGCGTCTGAATTGCAAATGAAATGAATACAGGCTTTGAAAGATTACATTCAATAACTAAATATTACTAGAGGAAATAGTTGTCTTTTTTTACTTTCTTGTATTATTGAAGAAGAAACTGTTGAAAACACTCAAATAAGGTTTTTGGAACCAGGATTTGGTAATGAGTGACAACAATATTACATGATTTCCACATTATGTTTGCTATAGATCATAATCCTTAAGATTTCAGTCCTGAAGGAGACACACTTCTTGAATGCCCAACAGATTTGTTTTGATAAAGAAGTAGGCCAATTTCTCCATTATGCCCTTAGCATAATGTCTGTGAATGTCGTTGTGTGCAGTTTTAAGGACAAACAATATTACTCCTGCATGACTAGTCCAGCAAATATATTATCCTTCCACCTGAATAAAAATCCCCTTTCTCTCTCCTCTCCCAGAGCTGCGGCTTTGGAGCAGTTTAAATCTCTGGGTGCAGAGCCGCTGGAGTTGGACTTCAAGGAGTCAGGAGAGGGACAGGGAGGCTACGCCAAGGAAATGTCAAAGGAGTTCATCGAGGCTGAGATGAAGCTGTTTGCCAAGCAGTGTCAGGAGGTGGACATTGTCATCACCACGGCTCTTATCCCTGGTATGCACAGACGCATGCACAGCAATAACGCTGACCATAAATGTAGAAGGTGAAGGACAAATTGCTCATGCAAACAAACGAAAGGTCATGGAATATCACAGACATGTGTTCTGGGCAGGTAGAAATGTAGAAATAAAAAGGAACAGTCATGCAATATTGAACATTAAAATAGCTTTACAAGAACTTTATTTGACAACAGTTTCACATTTGTTCCACCACTCTGATGGTTTCATGAGTCTTTGTAGGGCCATGTATCCTCTCTATCTGCAGTTTCACGAAAATGCGTATAATATCTTGATGCATGTTTTTCCATTGTAACTTTGTAGGTAGGCGTGCACCCATCCTGATCACCAAACAGATGGTAGAGAGCATGAAAGACGGTTCAGTGGTGGTGGACTTGGCTGCTGAGGCGGGAGGAAACATTGAGACTATAGTACCTGGAGAGCTGTCGGTGCACAAGGTCAGTGTTTATAATCACACTCACACCAAACAGGTTTTTTTGCACTTTGTCTTTTTAATTGCTTTTCCTTTCATTGTTAGGGAGTGACTCATGTTGGCTACACAGACCTGCCCAGCCGTTTGCCGACACAGTCCAGCACTCTGTACTCCAACAACATCACCAAGTTGATGAGGGCCATCAGCCCCAACACGGAGAACTTCTACCTGAACGTAAAGGAAGAGTTTGACTACGGCACCATGGATCACGTCGTCAGGGGATCCGTTGTTATGCAGGTACGCGGTATAATGTGGCCGGACAAACATGCATGTATGTGTACAGCTGACGGGTCGCACATATTTCTCAGCCGATACCAAGGTTGCAACACGGGGGCAAACAGAGGATTCATTCAGTCAAAGGGAAAATAATTGATGGCCTGCAGCTCCCTTTCACCGTCACTAGATGTCATCCTAACAACAATGTTTCTTACACTTTCAGTTTTTGTAGCTGCCAATTAATGTCCCTCGCAGAAACAATGGCTCTTCTTTACTTTGAAAGTCTCCCCTTTTTTTCTTTGGTGGTAAATTGAATTTAAAGGTCTTGCAGAAGTTCATTTTTCAACCTGTGAAATGTCCTGGTCAGTTCATTAAAATAATGTTTTTCTTCATGATGTTGGAAACCAATTATCATAGTTCTTTTAATCATAGCTCATTGTTTTATTTAATGGATATTATTTCTGCTGTTATCAATCTTAGTAAAGCTGTGTTCCTTCTTCTGGAGTAAGCTATTCGATTTCTGGTTGTTATTTGAGCCATGTGTGATTGCAATAATGGTCACACGTCTTAAAAATGATGCTGAAATGCAGATATACCTGCTCTGCTTACTCATCATTAGTTTCATTACTTTGATCTTGACAGCACAGTCTGTTGCATTCATACATCTGTGAAACATTAGAGGACATTGTACACCATTAGGTGATGAGATCAGGGAAAAAAGCAAAGGTCATATAAGCTCCTAATAAATGTCATTTGATATTGTTGATATAACTAACAGTCAGTAGTCAGTTATCACTGTGCAGCCATTTCTTTGTATAACCATTAGTATAGTGGTTAGTATAGATTGATTGAACTTTTTGTTTCTTTCCCCTCTTTCTCACTTTAACATCATACCATTCTCTGTCTAAATTATTGTCTTCACCAGGATGGAAGGAACCTGTTCCCCGCTCCCCAGCCTAACAATGTACCTGTTGCACCTCCTCCTAAACCCAAGTCTATCAAGGAACTGAATAAAGAGAAGGCTGCACTAATCTCCCCCTTTAAGGCTAGACTCACTACTGCTGGCGCGTACACTGGAGGTTAGTAGGATATTCCAATAGATGTACATTTTGTGGACAAGTCGAGAAATCAGGGAGAGGCTATTTCTGAGAGCTCATGGGTTTAATCTTGTTAATTGTCTACTGTTGGGTCTTAAAGGAGGTTGAAGTCTGCAAGAAGGTGAAGCAGAGGTTAATAATAATCAGCTTTTTAGGTGGAATGTGCACAGGAGGCGAGAAGTGACAAACACAGACACCCTGTTAGTGTCAGGAAGTGTGCATTGTAAAAAGAAAAAAGTGTCACGCTGAGTGTATGTGTTTGAAGTAGTGCTGCAGTGAGTGGTTCCCATGGTGCCACACAGCGCTCTGTGTAAGTGCGCCACATGCAGTTAATGCGGTTCACACATTGTTCAGGTGTTCGGGTGGTTTTCTACTTCACAAAGCTGCTCGTGTTAGGTCCTCTTGAAGAGTGAGAACTTGCTTTGTGCCCATTAGTGTGGCATGAAAAGTTGTTTTATTAGTTTTAAATGAACTCTCATGGATATTGATTCCTTTTTTGCAACACAAGGCAATCTGTAACATGCCACCAGTCTCGCAAATGTAACCAGACAAATTGCTTTTAAACTGATAATTATGTCTCTTAAAGTAACAGGAAATAAGGACATGTTGGGTGGTCAAATACCTACCACATCTTGCACTCAAAAAAGTGCTTAAAGTTGCATCCAAAGCTCATTTACACTAATCAAACTGGGCTGACATTAAGGTCAGAGGCGTTAAAAAAATAAGCCCAACATTTTTACAAACTAATTTTGGCCTTTTATTGTATGAAATATTGTATAGTTTTCAGTCTTTTCTTTGGGGCTCAGTGTGCTGAAATAACAACAATTTAGCCTAATAAATAAACTGTAGACTACATGTTAATTATCTCATTGTTTTCATATTATTTAAACAAAATCTGCCCCCAGATGTACTGTTGAAGTGTTCTGTATTTCTCAGTCGCTCTCTGGTTCCTTCTTTAACTAGGTGCTGCCACCCTGCTGAGTCTGGGCCTGGTGGCTCCTAACGCCGCCTTCACTCAGATCGTCACCACCTTTGGTCTGGCTGGCATCGTGGGATACCACACAGTGTGGGGGGTCAGTCCTGCTCTGCACTCTCCCCTCATGTCTGTCACCAACGCTATCTCAGGTTGGTCGTGTTTCATGTGTCTTTTACACCTTTCTGTATAATGCAATCCAGAACACCTCCACTGCTAGGCAAAGGGTAGGGCTGAATATCTGAATCTAAAGCTTGATGAATGTCACATTCATCGTTATAGTAATAGTTAATAGAGTTGCCATTCTAGCGCATTCTTAAATGTATTTATTTATCTGATTTAATTACAAAAATACCAGTTTTAGTGTCCGGCTAAATGGTCTTTTTTTGCACATTTTGACGAGGGTACATTTTGATAAATAATAGCACTGACTCTTTAATATTAAATTCAGTAAACTGAGGTTTATAGAGGAGAATATTACAACAGAGTGGATAAATATAATTTAAAAAAAAAACACAACAACCTGACCATGCAGAAACACGCGGTATAATATTAGATGGTATTAATAAAATATGTGAAACAAACAGTAGAATATTAAACCATAAAGTACAGACTTAGCTAGAGGATCAAACATCTTGTACGTCAGTCCATCGTGTCTCTGCAGCCATGCTGGTGCTTCCTAGAGTCCAAATAAAGATTGTGTCCTTATTGTCGGCTGCCACTTAACACAGAGGGGTTAAGAGGTTAGAGAGGCAAGTGCATGTGTGTGTGTTCTCACGCCTTTGATCACACTCGAGACCCTCACTAGGGTAGGAAGTAAAAAACTGTCGGTGATCTTTGAGGTTCAGGGAAGTCCTTCGCTCATTTACTCGTCCACACAGCCGGACATGAGAGCGGGGTCACGGAGCCCAGCAGTGCGACAACTGAGAGACAGTTTTCACTTCCTTTAAAAACCTTTATTACTTACCAACTATACCCTGTTCACATTACCATCTTCACACCATCGTTCTTGTTTCTTTGGGATTGTGCCTTTTACATTTTCCACCCTGTTATAGTTCACTTTATGTTACTGTTACTGTCAAATTCCATCAATAAATAGAATCTTTACATGACATTGTTTTGCATTTTATAACCAAATGTACAACTTTTTTTGTCCCTTCAGTGACTGTAGTTCTGGAAATATTGAGACTAACGTAATTCTGATGTTGTTGTGCCAGGCCTCGTAAAGACACACACGGAATCATTCACAGACATTAGGGAATCATATTGGAATTTAGGGTTTGAGTGAGGGACAGTTATATTCTTCATGGGGGGATTATAGTGTTACAAGCATTGGTGACTCTGGCTCGTGGGTCATGATGGAATCTTCAGACTATGGTCTCATATCCAGAGGCTCATTGAGGCACATCTTTATATCTGGTGTCTGATACAAACCCTTTAATCTACTTGAGAGCACTGATTCACTGTCCCACTCTGTAGCCTGGGAGCTGATGTTTGTCACACACCTACCGGCAATGGCCCACCCAGGACATACGTGTGTGTGTCCACTGATGCCTATTGGCTTTCATTCTGGCTAATCTATTAGTTGCGGTGGCCAGGCGTGCCTTTTGATCTCAGTCTAAATGGTGTAACTTCACCTCTTTTTGGATCAAGTAGCTCACGAAAAGTAAAGTGTGCCAAATTTGGGTAAATCTGTTATTCAAATATTGAATCAACATTTAGATGAGTATAAGTTTCCCTGCAACAGAGACTCAATAAATACAAGTTGATTGGGACATCCCTTGTCATTTTTCCCCCGTTGGACCTGTGTGAATTTGAGAGTATACACAACAAGCTTGCAGATCAGATTCGAGGTGTTTGGGTAGCATCTGAGTTACACATCTATCACTAGACTGTGGAGAACATTAATCATCAGTGACATCCTGACAAACTGTTAGATGTCTTTGTACTTGAAACCCAACCACAAATGTTTTTAGCTTGTAATTCCTGTGTCACTAACAAAAGTATTTTTTGTTATAACAGTGAATTATTTAATTTATCCTTTATTCACATAGTAATTTTTACATAGCAATTGAAACGTGCACAGTTTAGAAGCTGATATACACACATGATTATAAAGTTGACTTTGTTAATGTAATGGAGAGAAGGTCAAACTTTGCATTTGTCTCATTACACACACGAGACCTGCTGGTCAGCCTAAATTGTCCTCAAACATGATTCCGTGTGAATGCAGGCTCCCGGGTGCTGCGTGTTGCATCTTACTGCCTGTAAGTCATTACAGGGCTGATGTTATCAAGGTTTCCTGAGTCTCTTTTGATAAACACACACTCCCTCTTTTTCTCCCCCCTTCTTTTTTTTTATCTTGAAATCTTCCCTTTTCTGTCTTTTTCCGATGTGGAAAGCAGGAGTATTCTGAGCTTAGGAACACAACTCTTAAATGTCTATAGATGTTAAACAATGGTAATTGAAGTGTTAAGATTAACTTGTTAATGACTGAATTAGGGCTTTGGTGTTTTTGTAACATTTCCCCTACACATGGGACATGTGAACATTTCACGATTATACTAGCCAAAATAATTGCGATTCACAATACCTTGACTATCATCAACATATGCTTTATACTCATAAGCTTTACATTACGTCTTAGTTGACAAACACACATTTTTCCACCGACAACACTATTCTAAGTGAACACCTTTTCATGTAGAAAAACCCCAAAAACTTAATTATCTTCATCATAAAACACAACCCCCCCCCTCCCGGCATATATAATGATGAATACAAAAATATAATTCTTAATCAAACCTATATAATCTAAATCAGGCTCTATGGTTTCATTTTCAACCACGTTATCAAGTTGGGAGCTTTTTCAAGTCACCCATGTGTAGATAGTCACAATAATCTCGATAATAAAACCTCTAAACAAACCAATTAATCTGCAATTCAATCCTATATTGTTCCATTCCTAATATTCACTGAAAGTTTCAATGTCTTCTGTAATGAACTATGTAAATGGAGGTTCATGAATTTAAATTGTCCTCGTTCTGCAGGTCTGACGGCTGTGGGTGGTCTGTCCCTGATGAGTGGGGGCTACGCCCCATCATCTACCGCTGGGACACTGGCCGTGCTGGCGGCCTTCATCTCCTCCGTCAACATCGCTGGTGAGTCACCCGCACACAGACACCTCGCAGTGATCCCCGCCAGTTACAGCAACCTTTCGCCAATAAAATATCAACTTCGACTGCAGATTGAAGAGTTTTGTATTGATTGTACAATAACATGCTTCGAACCAAGTTGAGCAGCTGCCCTCTCTACCCACCTGCTCGAAGGGAGTCGGTGCCTTGGACCACACACATTCTTCCCCGCTATTACCCTTAATAATTCCCATTATAACGCCAAAGTGTTCCTGGAGTCATTATCATACTCATCACTCTCTAATAGTCCTGGGAAACAGAGTGTTCCTGCGGGGCTGAGCTGCAGATTTGTTTTAATTTCCCTGGTTAGCTCACAGCTATTCACCACTGAAGACTCTAGGGAATGAAAAGTTAACTTGCATAATGGATCACTTTAGCTTATTAGTTGAGTTTATTTACATGAGATACACCACAAAAATGTTGAAGTTAAAAACCATGCTGTGAATCCTGCTAAATATCTTGGGTCCTCCAGGCTCTATAGCGTTACTGTTCTAACCCTCTATCAGTCTTATAGATTTTCCATAACAAAAGCATACTAAAATACCATAGCCTTTATGGACATATCTATTTTCAATTTTCTCTCTTCTACCATATTTTACATGGGTTCCTTTCCACACGCACATTTCTAAGTGGTTTACCACATTACCCATAAACCCCCGGGAACAGAGAAAAACATTCCTTGGAAGGTACGAGAAACAATAGTGAAATTCAGCTCCGATAAAATAGCCCCTGAGCTTTTTGAGTCGGTGAGTCTGTTGTGTGGAACAGGTCCCTGGCTCTAGCTACTTGTTTTCCTTGTGTGTCTCCACAGCCGTAAGGTGTTGGAGTAAAAATGGATGGAAAACACCTGGGTCTCTGAATAACTTTAGATAAATATGTTCATCAAAATCAAATTTCTCTGTGCTCTATGAAATTCCATAAAACCCATAGACCACGAACGTTATTCGTTTCAGTCATTGATTTTAATCTTATTATTAACTTTGATTTATTGATGTCTTAAAATGTATGGTATTTGTTCAAAACATTTGACAATCATATACCTGCAACACTAATGACATTCCCATCACCCTCGCTTTATGTTTTGAGCTATTTGGAAGTTGGCTAACAGCTAACGTTGGCTAATGTTCACAGAGCTGCTTCTATAATGGCTGCAGACTCTGAGCCTCATGACTTGGCACGTGTTGCTGATTTGCTTCTATTCTTGTAAACGTTCTAAATATAGTGTCGGCAGACCCATTCTGAGTACAAAAAACAAAATAGAAAATGAACATTCCTCCATATTAATATATTGACTCAGATTGGTCAGTAATAATATTAGTCAGATTGTGTTTTGTGTTTTAACTAAGATATTCTAGGACTGAAATTACAAGAACTGGTAAAATGCAGGTGCTAGCCTCTGATTCACCCTTGTACATTTATGTGCATATACGTATGTGTGTGTAGTTCCAATCATGCCAGGGGGGGAAAAGGAGACACACAGCTATGTGATCTCCTCGCGTAGAGCAGTGAGACACCGTCTGCTCACACTTTGACGCTTTTGAGGTTTTCTACTTGAAATATTTACACTGAAATGAAGTAGACTAATTCGATTCCTCACTTTGGTTATAATGCTTGGCAACGTTTTTTAGCAATTGTCTTTGAAAAATCTGCCCCCAGATTTACTGTTAAAGCTTTCTTTATTTGAGATACATGTACCATAGATGCCTGGACCTCCCTGCCTCGAAACCTCGTACACTCCTATTTTGCCATCTTGTAATTAGTTTTTCCATAAATAAAGTTTTTTTTGTAATCCCTACTCTGTGTTAAGTAACTTTCAAACCTGAATTTGAGCGTCTGTGTAGTCCATTAATTTTCTCTGTCTCTCTCCCAGGTGGTTTCCTTGTAACAAAGAAGATGTTGGACATGTTCAAGCGTCCCACTGATCCCCCAGAGCACAGCTACCTCTATCTGCTTCCTGCTGGTGTCTTTGTCGGTGGCTATGGAGTTGCGCTGCAATCTGGATACAACATTGAACAGGTGCGAGAGAGGATGTTTATGCCCGGTCCCCCTGTGTTTTCACAGATGTAGAACAGAACCTTCAAAGTAGATAATTTGTCCTTATGTCTCATCCTGTGGTCCCTAATTGTCTAAAACCCCCTCTTTACGTCTATTTCTCTCTCCAGATGATGTACTTGGGTTCAGGTCTGTGCTGTGTCGGCGCCCTGGCTGGCCTTTCCAACCAGAAAACATCCCGTCTGGGAAACACTCTGGGTATGATCGGAGTTGCGGGGGGTATTGCTGCGACTCTTGGTGCCCTCCAACCCAGTCTTGAGCTCCTGGGACAGATGAGTGCAGCCATGGCTGTCGGCGGCACTACTGGTGAGTCCCTGTTGAAAATAATGGGATAACAGGCTTAGAGGCAAACTCAAATTCTTGTACAACAGTGTTGCAGCAGCTCCAAATGACTGGACATCAGTGCGTGTGCATGGATTCCGAGCTTGACTAAATTAAGCAGCAGGTGTGCAGAGCGCAGACACATCTCTGTGATGTTTACATCAAACAAAACGTGACTAACTCCCCTCCAGACTCTGGAGGTCTGTCTTAAATGGTCAGCAGCACGTATTACTCACTTTCTTTCGCCTGTTCAGGACAGTTTGATCATTTAAATGCTAATTGTTCCAGTAACAGAGTGTCGACCCAGACTAAACTATCCCAACAAACACAAATGCTAATTTCCAGGCTTCCTGCAGGACACACACACACACACACACACACACACACACACACACACACACACACACACACACACACACACACACACACACACACACACACACAGTACACACACACACACACACACACAGTATACCCACTCACAAGCATGGAATTTCCCCGAACAGGCCTCATCAGCAACACCTGTTTCTTTAGATGGACCCACTTCCCAGCAGTCCTCTGATAGTGTGTGCTTGTGATTTGCATGTTATTAGTGTGTGTGAGTCTTTCAGGATCACTGCACTTTATTTACGTGTTATCTCTCTCTCTCTCTCCTGCCCCCCTTAAGGCCTGGTCATTGCTAAGAAGATCCAGATCACGGAGCTGCCCCAACTGGTGGCGGCCTTCCACAGCCTGGTGGGCCTGGCTGCCGTGCTCACCTGCGTGGCAGAGTACATGATCGAGTACCCCAACTTCGCCACAGACCCTGCCGCCAACTTCACCAAGATAATCGCGTACCTCGGCACCTACATCGGTGGAATCACCTTCAGTGGCTCTTTGGTGGCATATGGCAAACTGAACGGTGAGAGAAGCACAGTCTGATTCATATTCCCTGCAAACATTTACACTGATCCCCAGAGAGAACATGCATCCTTGCTGTTGTGGAATTATAAAGCATATTTATTACACATGTATTTACACTGGTAGACAAAGAGAAGGCCTTAACTGCATATTAAATGTGGCCCTTTTTGTGTTATAATAAACACAAAAAAGTAATAAATGTTTCATAGGATTTACTTTACAAGATCTACATTGGAAAAATAACTTTGTCGGGGATAGCATTGGCCCTCTCTCCCAAATCTCTCTTCTTTGTTATATATAGTGTTTCGGGAAAGTTAACCATGGCTGTATTTTAGAATGTGTTTATATATTACATTTTATGTTAGTAATCGTACAAATGTATTTGGTATAATCGTTTTATTCTTTGTTCAGTTCATAAGCATCAGTTAGATCAGTGTTCATGTTATTGCACTCTATTATACTAATATTAAGGGGTATTAAGGTGACCATTTTGCTTTAAAAAAAAAAAAGAAGTGAATTACCTCTCCAATCAGGATTATTCGTGTAGTGTTTTATGGCAGTCTGGCCGACCTGTGGTTATCAACAAGAGAAGGTCTGATTCTTCATATTTACTGCTGCCAGCTGTGCAGGGGAAAGAGGGAAAAAAAAAAGAGTTCATCGGGTTCATTCTGCTGGCTCCAGTCCTACAGTACTAACCACACTTTAATGTTGACTGCAAGCGTTTCATGAGGGCAAATTATGCATGAACATGACATTCAGTTAATGACAGGTCTCAAGTGGTGGCTGCTGCAGGATGAATCTAACTCTGCGCAGGCTTTTTTCCCACTAGTCTGAGATATTTATCTCTAAGACAAGTTCACAGCTGATAAATGAATTGAAGTGTTTATGAGCAGTTGTTAGTTGTGATTATCATTCAATTGTCTGCTAAATCTGCTCTCTCCCCGTGTGTTCTCCCTCTGCAGGTGCTCTGAGCAGCTCTCCCCTGATGCTCCCTGGTCGCCATGCTCTGAACGCGACGCTCATGGCAGCCTGTGTTGGCGGGATGGTTCCCTACCTGCTGGATCCCAGCTACATCACAGGCATCACCTGCCTCGGATCAGTCTCTGCTCTCTCCGCTGTCATGGTATGGCTTGTGTGTGTGTTTTTGTAGCTTCAGTAAGACCTATCAAAAGAGAAGTCTCACCTCAAATACTACCGATACGATTTTCTTACATGCTGACAGAAGAACATGTCAAATTGTTTTTTAAAGACTTAAATAAACACAGAAGGAATGGGAAAAGGCATACAAAACGGGGAGAAAGTTAGGCTAAAAAGACAAAGCAGGATTTGTTATGCGATTTTAAATAAAACAAAAAGGACTTAATAAAATTCAGGCTCTTGCACAGTAGATTTTTAAATATGTAGTCAGAGTTGAGCAGAGAGCTCTAAATAGTCGGGCAGCCATAGTGTCCAACAGCTTAGACTTTGTAAAACTGCCAGGTTCCTGCTTGTATTTGACCCCATTTAGATGAATGTCCAGCATTGTCAAGTCATGCTTAACAAAGAAATGTGCTACAGACTTTGTTAGAGAAAAGATCTCCATGATTAACAGTACAATGTGTGACAGGTTCACCTCTTGCAGGACGTGCACAACTTTAACAATAAACAGCAACTCTAGAGAGACTGTATTAGTCTTCAGAGTTTCTGGAGGCTTACTTCAGTAGAATACTTAAACTGGAATCTGCTCCACTTCTGAACATAGATTATAATCATGTGAATCTAGGCAAGCAGACGGCAGCAAGGAGCACGCACTAATGTAACTACTTTATACAAAGTGATAAATTCATGCTTGATTTGCATTATTCCATGTGTTGCTGGGAAAATCTGAATCTGAAGTCAATCCCAGAAACGATGATCAGTGTATCCCTAGAGAAGAAAGATGAACATCATATTGGTTTCATATTTAAAAAATCAGGATAATGGACCATCCATTGTGCTTTTCATGTGTGTCTTTACTCCTTCAGATAAGTCTACAGTATGTCAACATGAACAATCTATCATACGCACCTGTGCACTTGGAATAAAAAAACTCTGCTGCTGCTTTGATAACTACCTTTGTAAAACAAAAAAATACATAGATGGTGAAGGGAGAGATGTCCAGTGAATTTGATTGTGAAAAATGGAAGTGCAGCAGGAAAGGCTGTTTTCCTTTTATTTGGAAGAATGACTGAACCTCCTCTCCTGTTCTCCTATTTTCTCCCTTAGGGTGTCACCTTGACATCTGCTATCGGAGGCGCGGACATGCCGGTGGTTATCACCGTGCTGAACAGTTACTCAGGCTGGGCCCTGTGTGCCGAGGGCTTCCTGCTCAATAACAACCTGCTGACCATCGTCGGAGCTCTCATCGGGTCCTCTGGAGCCATTCTGTCATACATTATGTGTGTGGTAAGTGTTGGAGTCTCAGCAACACTGTATTTGTTAATTTCGTAGATGAAAATGTGATTGTTCCTCTCCTGTCCACCAGGAGGGACTGTTACTTTGCATCAGTCCCCTTTCTAAATAAGATCTCTGGTCACAAATGTGTGTTTTCTGAGGGATTTTCACTCTGAAATTGTGTCTGATTGCTGTTTACTGCTGAACACAGTCAATCAAGTGAAAGCAAAATGTAATCATAAAATGCTAAATATCATTCTCCCCTCTCAGGCCATGAATCGTTCCCTGGCTAACGTGATCCTGGGGGGCTACGGCACCACTTCTACCGGAACAGGAAAGCCCATGGAGATCGTCGGGACACACACAGAGGTCAACATTGATCAGACCGTCGAGATGATCAAAGACGCCCAGAGCATAATCATCACTCCAGGTAATACACACACAATTACAAGCACACACACACTTACACACCCTTCAAAGGTTGTGTACGTAAGTTGAAAAACATGCTACTTTGACTTCATTTTTTTTTTCTTTTTCATCATTAACAAAGTGAGTGTTCTGTTTATTTAACCTTTTCCTGACCCATGTTGCATCACCATTTTGCTAGGCTAATTGACAAGTCATGGAATAGTGGCCACACACATACACACACTCTTAGGTTTCTGTGTGGTCGTCAGTCCCAGGTAAATAGACATTCTACAGTGCAGCGTATATCTGCGAGGTCAAGGGAAAATGAGATGGAAAGAGGGTATGCTTGGTTTATGTTGACAATTCAAGTGCTACGTTCAAAGTCAGCTTCTAGTCCCTTTTGTCGGAGTCAGGGCACGGGTCCAACCTTTGTTCAAGGTACATGCTGTTCTTCATTTCACATGTTTTCAATATTTGACTTTAAATACGTGTCTGAACCTCCCACTCTGATTATTGTGATGGTGCTCCGTGCTGCTGTCCTCAAACCATCATTGTGTGGCCCGGTGACATTTCAGTCCTCTCACCAGACGGTTCCAAAGAGTGGTTTTACTCACGTGGGTACATGTAAACACAGACTAAAAGCATCCAGCCTGCAAATTGGTGATTCCAGTCACAGTGCTGACTGAGTGTCTGTATACAAAACTAACAGAGGAATTAGAGCTTGGAAAAAGAAAATAAGTGGGAAAGAAGTGATCCATGTAGCAGCATCCAATCTAAATTAAAGCATGTTGTTTTTAATCACTCTTTTGGGACCATAATAAGACAAAGAGGAACACGGCCGACTGCTGAAACGAAAAACAGGCATAATGCATTTAAGTTAGGAGGTGGAATGTTTGTTTTTTTTAAGTCTTTTTTTTTGCGCCTTTTCTCAAAATTGTATACAAACCAAGACATGGCAAATCAAAAAATGCCAGACAATACTTGGGGTTATAGGACAAAATAAACGAATAGAAAGATTAAAAAAGTTGAAAGAAATCCTGATGTACTTTGGAACTCTATAAATTGGTTTATTTAAAAGCCATACATCTGTTACCCAGTGAGATCAGGGATATTTCTATCTGCCGTTTCTTTTAAATGCTAATGACCTCACCTCCAAAACACGTACCCTACAAACGCATAATTCTTTAATTTATCGTGTAGTGTGAAGTCAGACTGGTATTGTTATCCATATGCCAGCTTTTACTCAGCCCCCTTGTTTTCATTTTAACCAGCCTCCCTAATTGGAGCCGTCACAGTCACTTTGCCTGATTGACATCTGTGGAAACGGTTAAGACTCGGCCTGATAAACATAAATGTTTTCCTGGCTTCGTCTGGTCCATCTCCGCATGGCCTGCATCCACTTTGCTTTCCCTTATAGGAGAAACTCCTGAGAGAATATTTAAAGCACAAGGAATTAAAGAACTGTGATGAAGAGAAACAATCATTCAAGTATTGAGCTGAACTGCAGACAGTTTCCAAAGTTATTTGTTTCTCCTTTCTCTAATGCTGAATTGAAAGCCCTGTCATTTTGACCAGTGTGATGGAAACAGACAGTTGGTGACTGGTTGTTGTGACAGGGCGAGTAAACACCACCGGACCGTGTGACGTGTGTTTGGTTCTATGACTGTGTGATAAAATCAAGTCCCACACACCAGCAAAATTAATCCTAAAGGAAATCGGAGACTTCAAGAAAAAACATACAATGTGTTTAGAACTCCATGCCAGCTTTATTTATATAATCTGAATGTTTGATATGGAATACATGATTGAAAGTTTATCAGTTACAGAAAATGGTTATCATTTCATCCATCTGTAACTGGAACTCAGTCGTGATAACATGATCATTAAACTATAAAACAATTTTGTGTCAGGGTAGTGAAAATGTCCATCACCAATTTTCTAGAGCTGAAGGTGACATATTAAGACTTCAAAAGAAGATGTATAGTTTACTGTCATTTAAGACTAAGGTTATATGAAAATGTTTCTGAATCAACGTGAGAGGTCTGTCTTATATCTCAAAAGAAGGTCTTGGACGGGTGAATTGGGGAAACTAATTCTTACCTGTTTTCAAAATCTCTTTCAGGTTATGGACTCTGCGCTGCAAAGGCCCAGTACCCCATCGCTGAGTTGGTGAAGATGCTGATAGAGGCTGGCAAGGACGTCAGGTAAAGGGGCTATAAAGCTAACTGATCTATGTTAAATGAACATATATGTCAGGCAAATAGAGTTATAATCAGTCTACTGTAATTCAATCAAAGGGGATGGATGTAATTAGATAAAAACACTAGGGATGTATGAATATAAAATTGGGAAGGAAAAAACAATTTTCTACCCATTACCAAATGTAAACTGAGCCATGAAAGACAAAAAAAAGGAGAGTTGTGGTTTTGAGCTTGATGACAAGAAGATGGGACAGGACTGATAGCAAGAGACCTATCTGCGTAGAAAGAATGAGAGAAAGGAAATGTGAAAGAGAGGAAGGACAAGGTACAGCGGAAGCTTGTGTAATTGTCCAGCCGCAGTCCTTTGATCCTGGCTGTGGCAGCTGCTGCTACTTACAGCATTTGTACTTGATTAGAGGAAAGTGGGTGGTCAGAAAAAGAAACTCCTTCACCATGATCTCTTACTTTCCTCTTATTTTTCTGTTTTCTGAATTGTGATGTATTGCCTTGATGTGTCCCTTGTCTTCCTGTTCATTATATACACTGTTCTTTTTCTCTTCCCTACACACCACAGTATATTTACAGTGTGAAGTTTGGAAGCACACCACTTTCATTTCTCTCTCAAAGACCAAAGCCTTTGTGTCTACCCACTGTCTTCTAATGCATTCAGACTGTATAGAATTTACATGAAAGGCAGAAATGACTTTTTCATCATCAGCCACAGTTGCTAATAGATACCAGAACCAACAGACCGTCTGAACATTGAATCGGCCTTAACTCACCAAATAAAAAATAAATAAAGCTCCAAACAGTGATTAGTCAGAGAGACGGTCACCAGAATTCAGTGTTAATATCATACCCTGATAACATTACATGGCTATTTGAGTTTGAGAACAATGAATACCAAGTCACACACATGCGCCCACACTAAAAAATTAATAACACATTGTTTGTAACCTTTTTTTTGTTGTTCTCTCACCTTTCCACAGGTTTGGTATTCACCCTGTGGCCGGCCGTATGCCCGGTCAGCTCAACGTGCTGTTGGCTGAAGCTGGTGTCCCATATGATATTGTCCTGGAAATGGAAGAGATTAATGAAGACTTCGCCAGTAAGATACAATTATTTTATATACGGTACCTACCATGATGTTAACTGATTTATACTAAAGTTATTGTGACATAGCATGTTGGTTTTTGTTACAGCTTTTAAAAAAGTTGTTGGTGGCATCTAAAATATGGAGTTGGAGATAAATTAAAAGCTTAAAGCTAGTCGAACTCTGACCACATTTAAGTGGCAAAGAGTAATTTTTCCCCTCCAGTATTTCAGAGTGGAATTATTGTTGGAGCCACTTTTGTAAAAGAAAGAATCTATCACTTTATTTTTCCTACCACTAGGGACATATTTAGCAACTTATTCAGACCGTTGGGAGGAAAGCAAATAAGGTTTGATAAGGGACTGATCGGACCGGGTTTAAGAACCAAAACAAATGTGTTTATAAACACAGAGTAAAAGGATTGAGACATGATATCTGATCTTAATTTGTTATGTTTCCAATCAGAAACGGACCTGGTCATGGTGATCGGTGCCAATGACACGGTGAACTCAGCCTCCCAGGAAGATCCCAACTCTATCATTGCTGGCATGCCGGTGCTGGAGGTCTGGAAGTCTAAGCAGGTGAGACATCTGGTACATGCATGTGTGATTATGCGGTTGTCCTGAAGCCCAAAAAGGTAAAGAGGAATGGAAGATTTAACAACTGGACTGCTTTTTATCGTCTCAACTGAATGCTGGAGTCAACACCCGTAGAGAGGCCTCTTTTTGAAGACACACACAGACACACACACACAAATCTGAAGAATTGCATACTCTCACACACACACACACACACAGAATCAGACCGTTCCAGGTGCAGTCCCATCCTGATCCAATTAGCCTGTGTCGCCGTGGAATGACGACATTCGGAGCATCCCACTGGCACCGCTCTGAAATCCACACACACTTTCCCCTGGGGAAATCAAAGAGGACATTCTACCCTTACCACACACACTCACGTGGACACAAACACAGACACACATACAGGTGCACAGATAAAAACTGGGTTAATAAAAAACACGAGTGCTTTTAAAATATATTCTTAGGCGCTCAATTACAAACGCATGAGTCATGTGAGAACACACACGGTCTGGAAATACTTTCACATACACTACTTTAAGACCTTTGTTGAAGTACAACTTATGTAAAAAAAATACTTTTAATTAATGTTGTCTAAAAGAGTTGCAAGTTATAATTTAATTAGCCAAATCAGTTTTGAATTGATAATTGTAGATTTTTGTATTGTAATCATTGTAGTTTAATATGTTATAACAACAGCTGTTAGTGTTTTCTTTTTTCAATTTCAAACATCCCAGATTTATTTTTGAGATAAAAGGATAATTGACAGTTTTACCTTAGAAAGAAAAATGGCTTGGATTAAAATATAATTTTGCATCTCCACAAAACTATTTCTTATATCTGCTTCATCAGTATTTTCACATCGACTCTTCCTATTAGATGCTTAAGAGTGTGTGTCTTTTTATGTGTTTCTCTTGCTCTCTAGGTGGTTGTGATGAAGCGTTCCCTGGGTGTGGGATACGCAGCTGTTGACAACCCCATCTTCTACAAGCCCAACACTGCGATGTTGCTAGGCGACGCCAAGAAGACTTGCGACGCGCTGCAATCCAAGATCCGCGATGCCCAGAACGAGTAAGACGAGCACCTCCACTCGAAGCACACAGGGAGCGAGGAAGGTCGAAGACAATGATTCAAACGGTTTTTCCAAAAATATATTCCACATTAACATGATCTTTGTCCCATTGTGACTCGAACAATTGAGCAAAGATGATTTTAAAAGATGTTGGCACACCCTTCCTATCATGTATTAATGAAAAACATTGCAATGTGGCTGTTAAATATTCACTTGTGCAGTATGAGCCAAGCATTGCATGCACTGTTGTTCTTCTCTTAGTGCTTTTGATTAGGTAATGTAATAAGATTCATATTTACAGGGATGTCTTTTTATGGATAGTATACAGTAGGAAGGGTATGTCAACTATTCGCATGTGGTGTGTGTAATCGGGCGAGCAACATCTTCATATTAATGTAAACCTTCAGAAATGTAGATGCATTAAGATGTTAGATATAGGAAATGTCTCTATTAGGAAATAGTCTAGTTGAAAATATAATGTAGATGAATTGGAATTTAAAAGAAGAGCTGAGATGTAGAGAGAAAGAGGTATGAGAGACTTAAATGTTTCCCCACATTGTTTTCTCCCAGGTATCGTGTTCCCTTCGATAGATTTATTTGTGCGAAAACTTATGCCACAAATAATTTTTCTGTACAAGTGAAAAGGAAAAAAAGCAGATCAACAAGTCCTTTCAATTCCAATTTTATATGTTGTTAGAGATTTTTGTATTCGGTCTCATAATAATCATAAAACTAACAAAAAAACAATTTTAGAAGCAATAGCCCATTATAGAAATGTGGTCATTCTATTTGCTTTTTTTGCTTTTCACTTGCACACGTGTCCTGTGAACTCCACTGTTGCCGTTGGTGAACCAATCAAACATGGATCCAAAAACATTAAAGATCCATTCACACCTTTTTAAGTTTGATACCACAGCTGTCATGTAATGCTAGTAAAGACTGTATGATCCTAAAAAGGAACACTCTGATAGCTGAATGGGTTTAATGATGTTTTTAAACCAGGTGCATCACACCATCTTGTGTGGTTCTGATGTTACAGTACGTGTGATGATAGCCTTTGGCCTTTACGGTAAAGAAGGGTGGGTTTTTTTCTCTCTCTCAATTGACTGTGGCTCTATCCACTCCAATATGTGTCCTCATTATTTTTGTAGAGGGAAATGAAGGATCACTGTTTGTAAAAAAAGGGCCAATGTTAACCTGACTGTTATGTAAAGAGTCTAAAGCAGCGCTGAATTGAATTCATTCAATTTGAAATTGTCGTCACATTTTCAGAACACATGAATAATTCAACATTTTTATTAAGCTTTTCTAAATTCAAATAGTCCTTTTTTTACCTTTTGCTATGAAAACAAAAGTGCCAACATTTCCCATTTTACAATCAATCTGGATAGAATTTACAGCACAGATATAGATGAATTCGTTTCTATATTTCCAACTTTAGTAATTCTTGAAAGATCGCTGACAAAATGACAGTAGCTCTCACTCGATACCTAGCTAACTAAAAACACCAACAACGTAGTCCATCAAGTTAACAATAGTCTATCAACTTTTACTTTTAACTAAGTTGGATTGCTCCCATCCTTTTCCATTACTTATACTTGTTCACAGTTTTGATGGTCATGATACAGTAGATTAATTAGTAAGAGGGTTTCCTGTTACAAGGTTTGAGGAACAATATGGTCTTATGACAGGCCTGCAGTCTTCGATACTATTTAAATCTATTTACGTACTGTAAGAAGAGAGTTGTTGTAGTGTAACCTTGGGACCTGATACATTTACTATGACAACTATCCTACCTCTCCGTAAAATGGCCAATAAATACCCAGAGGACCATCATCTGACCAATCAACTTGAACTGAATCCACCACAGGATTTCTGACATTATTTCCATCTACCACACCTTAATTCAACCAGTCAACTCACATTTTTCCTAAACCTGACCAATTGCCTTCCGTTTTTGTGTTTCCATCACATTTTCAACCATCAGACCTCCGTTTGCCGCTGGCTAGTTTACCGTATGTGATGCAAGTGTAAAGCTGCTGATGTCATTTCTGCTCATGAGGGGTTATTATGCTTCAATTTACACAAGTGCAGTCTTTAGGGAAATTTAGGCTAAGCTTGTTGCTTAATATTTGTAGCTTGTTGCCATGTTTGAGGTTTTGATCAGATCAAGGGAGACGGCGAATATTAATATTTTTGCCAATGTGCCCTGTAATACCCCTCATATATATTTTCGGCTTCTTATGGAAAGTATTTTTGTATAGAAGCACCAAATTTGTGCGGAGCAACAATGGGGTTTTGAAGTTGTACAATGTTTCAGTGCACAGTGTTGTAGAGATGAAATGTACTGTGAATGTTTATCCTCCTGTTCGTCATGGAACATTTTCATCCCTAATAAACCTGTATTTACACTAGATGTTGCCTGAGGGTGTCATTTTGTTCACGACTGTTAAGGAAACTCTGTTGACTTGATTCTGTTAAATAATAAACAAGTTGATCTCTACGTTTTCCCTTAGGTCTACCACAGCTTTGATGGTAATGCTACCTGCCCAATTTGGCACCGCGGGGTTCAAAACGCAAATATTTGCAGCAATTACCTGGGTGAAGGATCATGAGAGGAAGGACTTGTACTTGAACTTGCACACATACTTCACCTGTGGAGTGCTGATTTACACAGGGCACACCAAATAATGTAAACACTATATGCATAAGAAGTTTAGGGTTTAGTTTTAAGGCCAGCTGAAGCTACTGACCGGGGGGGAAAACAAGTTCCAGGTGTATCAGAAAGAAAAATAACTATATTGAACATTTTGAAAGGAAAAGGAAAATATAGGATAAAGGTAAATTACTGTAAATGTTTCAGGGTGAACCTGTTGGATTGCCATGTTGCTGTTTCCAATTTTGTATCACACATACATGGAAATTAAGTGCTGAAGAGCTCAAGATGGCACATTCTTTCAGAAATATTCTTAAACTTTTACTTAAAATAAGTTGGAATAAGCTGTTGAGACACAGCATGGAAGTGGTTTGCTGTCCTTCCACAGGTGTCATGCAATGATCCCCTCTTTTTCAAAAAGGAAAATGAGCACAATAGCTGTGTCTCGATGAGGGAAAGCAAGGAAAAATGATTCCCTGGTTCGGAAAGCCACCCCTGAAACCTCAAAGTGCAACAGACTGGGATCGCATGAGCCCGTCATGAGGGTTGTGATAATGACTGAAATGTAAATAACGGTTTAAGTGACATTTTCACCTACAAGCGGCACTTGATTGCTATTCATCAGCAGAGAGTGAGCTGGAGGTACTTTAGAAGGGGAGTGCTGCCTACAGAGATGGAGTAGATTACACTGAAGATACATTTGTGAAGATGGGGATTGCATGTGTGTGAGATGAGGGTGGCTTCATCCTGTAACAAGTAGCACTCAGACAGGCTGTTATCTGCTCTCAGGCTGGAGGAGATCTAAAGAGAACTGTCACTCCCACAGCTGAGGCAAGATCCAGCGATAGTTACAAGAGTATGGGTTGAGATATTAATATTTAGTTGGATTTTTTATCCTTTTGAATGTGTTTTGCTTCATCTAAATTCAGAAGATTTACTTCTTGAAGGTATTTATTTCTAATGACATAAGCATGTGGAGGTTCTCAGGTGATGACAAAGGTCATGTGTGTCTTATTGGTGTGTATGTGTGAGAGCATGAAGATCCACAGCCTGATAAGCACTGAGGTGACAGCCTCCTCGGATCAAGCTGGTCTATTGTCACACCACCAGCATTTACTCAGGGTGCTGAAAGATGGCCAGCATGGTCTAGTCACACAATAAACCTGTATATCTTCTCCCTACAGAAATAGTCTGTCTTCCTGTAAACAAAAAAAGAGGAAAAGTTTGTTTTGCCTGGCTTTGCATGCAATTTGACATGGAGGGTAATTTATAATTTTGATCATGAGGGTTAGTATGTTGATTTCATGTGATAAGGTCAGTAAGCATGCATGTGTGAGAAGAAAATATGTATTCAAAGTGTTCAGATTGTCTTACTTTATGAAGGTATGGTAGTTGATGGGCTATTTATCTTGTATAAAGGCCTATGAAGTTCAATTTGGAACAATTCCTCCTTTTATAAACTGATAGCGTTTTGTATGTGAAAAAGCTCTTAAACGTAAGCGGTGTGATGTTTTACCATAGAATACAACACATGTTTTATGAACCACATGCACCGGACTCACCTGTTGCAAATGATAAAAAATGTAAAGCGCCATGGCCCCGCCCACACGTTAGCAGTGCTGCTAAATTGCAAGCAAATTATTCCTCTGTAAAACTTTGCAATGTCGCATTAAAAAAAAAACGCTCGTTCAGTTGTTTTACGCTTTACGGATTTATTATGTCATTACCCAAACAAAGTGGAAGTTTGGTGTCAGGAAGGAGCCTTCATTTGGACGCCACTTCAAGTGCAAAGGAAGTTTCCCGTCAGGTGTTTGCTAACTCGGGACTGCCGCTTGGCCTCTGGAAGGACTGAGAGGATCCTGCTTCACTTCAACTAGCTAAGTACCAAATGTAGTTTCTTCCTTTCTTTCCTTCTTCCTGCTGCTAATGCTGTTGTTGTGAATTAATTGCAAGTGTACTGGTCCGTTTTTGTTTGTGTGCATGGAAATAGTTGTCTTCAGGAGTCTATGGTGCTTAATTGGCTGGCCTTGAAATAATTTACTTTGGCGGTTATGAGGTTCATGTTATGTACTTTAAAAATATATTTTGTCCACACACTGAATACCTACATTATAAACATTAGCATTGGTGAAATGTTTTACTTAAGAATAATGTGTATCTGCCAGCTTGCTTTGTTATTATTTTTATGTCGACCTATTGCTGCTGCTTCACTCAACTGCAACATTGATAATCTGTTTTTCGTTTACTGTTTTATGGAAGATTGTCAGCCAATGGTTCACAATGTAGAGCTTTGTCTAAGCCTGAGGCTGCATAACAGGTGGATTGTTGGGGATAATAAATCTTTCCATCTATTTTCAATGTCTTGAGGTGCTGTGTTTGGAAATGAGCCGCACATAGTTCAGCATCCCCCATACTTTGCAGTACTTGCTCTTTCTTAGTGTTAAGGTCATAGCTGACACCAAATGAACTCAAATTAAAGTGTAGCTACTGCACTACATTTACTCGTAAATTCCTGAAACTGCACTTGGCAAATGGGGTTTAATGCTATACAGCAACAGTTCATCTTTCTTTCTTCACTCATCACTATATAAACCATGCTGTCTTTAGCACTGTTGGATTGAAGAAATACATTCTAAATCAATGTTACACATACTGGCACAAGTCTTTCTGCAGTGTGTTTGATCGTGTGATGAGCGCCAACCTCAGACCCTGCAGCCCTCAAAACTATCTGCAGCTCAAAACCCACAGACTCTAGGGAGAAGGCCCATAGCCGTGTGTACATGAAGTAATCCCCGATGAAAGGCTTGCAGATGAAACTATGTGTGATTGGAGAGATTTGTAGCTCGCCCCCCTACCACAGATGAATTGTCTGTCTGTGTCTGTCAAAATCAAGCCAGAGGATGTGGCTGTGCTACGGGATGAAACCGCTCCACAAGCCTTTATAGCAGCATCGACATCTGTTTAACATGTCTTTCTACCATTTGTCAGTCTGAACTTGAACTACATGCTGTACTTGCTACTCAGCTGACATGCAACATGGACGTATACACCCTTCACTCACCACAGTTGATGCTATTAATAGTTGTTAACTTGGGTCCCAATTCATGGAATCTCGTGACCTCACTGCGAAGTCTTATCAAACTTCGTTGTTGCTTGTTGTGCTCAACAGACATACAGTATGAACAAAACTAATTGTGTCCAATTATTACAAAGGCATTAGGTCAAGTAATGCAGTTTCATACTTTGACTTACCAGACCTGAGGAAATTAAGAACCAATCACTGGTAAAACTGCTGGCTTTAAACGATAACCACCGCTTACATTGACAGTAGATGTAAAATCCTGAAAAAAAGTAATTGCAGCAATTGCTTGTCAAAAGTACTTTTCCTGAATATGGGATATATTCCACTCTAGATTCATTGTTTTGATAATTTCACAGTATTCTTGTAGCACCTCCAGCTTTTCATAATGAAAAAGACATTGGGATGTCACTTAAAAAAACATTTGACCTTAAATAAGTCTGCATCCTAAGTGGAGAAAACCCTTTTTATTAAAGTAAGGTAAACATAAAGTAGTAATAATTCAGATAATTAGTTTTTGCCCCACAAGCTTGGAAAAGAAAGCCGCCTTTCTTTAATAATATGTTTTTCTGTTTGTTTTTATTAACCACCATCAACCTTGACTAAAAGTTATAAACTATTACATTTGAGATCCATCTTCCTCATACTACTGCAGCACTAATCTTTTTAGATCTACAGGTAGAGTGATGGTGTAGCATCAGTCTCCGTTATGAATAGTGAACCTCTCAACAAGCAGTAACTCTTTCATCCTTCATCTAGAGCAAGTTCCCTCCCTTAATGTCTAATCTGATCCTCCTAACAGCTTGTTTGGAGAGACTGTGTTATTGAACGGGGTCTTAAAAGCCCCCGGACCCAGGCCTCTCCAGAATACACGGTCCCATAGACACACACAAACATACACAGCGTTTGCCCCTGACTGTCCTCACATCGTTTGGACTGTGACAGCCAGAGATAAATGTAGACGCACTAACCTGGCCAGTGAGCAACACAACTGCCCTCTTTACTGTTCAATTTCATTACTGCTCAAGGCTGGCTAACGTAAACATCGTGGGAGTGTGTCCTTTTAAGCTGCTTTTATTGTCCAGCTGCTTCGCAACCTCTGGTTGTTAATTGACGAAAGGTCGGGATGGAAGGATGGGAAAAGAGGGGAATAAGGGCGGGGGTGAAAAGAGGCAAGGGGTGGTTAATATAGTGGTAAGAAGTGTGTGTGGATGTGATATTCTCTGAAGTAAGGCGGGAATCTTTTTAGAGTGGTTTCTCTGTGTGTGTATCTCAGCATCTGTATGTTTGTGCATATGTGTCATTAAAGCAGAGGCATCATAAAGTTCAGAGAAACAAAATGTTTATTGAAACATCTTCCAAGACCACTTGGCATCAGTTTGTTATTTTCTTGTGGCTAGGCGAGAGTTGTAGGGGCAAAAAGAAATGCAAAAGGAAACAAATTGTATTTACGCTGAATGGTTAGGAAACCCAGCCTATATGCAAATGAAGGGAAATCGCACTCAAAGCCTCTGAAGCTGATGTAGCCTCACTGTGGCCGTCAGACACAAACACTGGGATGGAAATCCTTGGAAATATGTCTGCTATGCAACTGTGGTAGGATATTTATTTTTAGTTTTCATAATATTATGTTCGTTCTGAGAGCAAACATTTTACACATTTTCCCATGCCTCCATTTACT